ATGGCAATGGTCCAACCCCTTGTTGGATCTTGGTGCTGCACAGAAGGGAGCGGGAAGGGATGGGAGGCTGGGGTAGGGGAAGGTAGATACTTTGCGCGGGGGGGGGGAGTTGTCCCTGGGCTGGGAGGCGTTTGCTTCCCATCTGGAGCTTGGATGGGAAACTTGGACACCCATTTTCCAAAAAGGTCCACACAGGGAGCAGAGGACACCTACAGAGAAGTGGTGCTTGGCCTGGACACCTCGGCAGGTTGGGCCACTCTCCACACACACAATACTCAGGGCTGAGCTAGGTCAAGCCACAAATGGGGCCAAGAGGGGAGTAAGGGTGCTCTTGAGGGCTCCAAACTGGGGGGGAGGGAGACAGCCCCAGTGGCTGCCCCCATCCCTGTCAGATCTGCTGCCGCAGCCAGGTTGGGCTGGAGGGCTGCCAGCAGGATGAACGGTTTCTGCTGGGCTCGGTGGTGGGACTCCTGAGCAAAGGGGAGGTATTTCTTTGTTGTGAGCAAAGTAAAAAAACCATCACCAGCCAGAGAACAAACAGCTCCGGGCTGGAGAAGGATCAGGGAGAGGGGGAGATGGGGAGGGTGATGGGGAGGAGCTGGGGGAGCATGGGGACAGGGCACTCACAGGAGGTTTTTCGGGGACTTGTGATCTCAGAGCAAATTTCTGCTGTTGGCTGCGCACCAGTGGCACCATTTCACCAACTTGCGCATGCCTCCCAGTCACCAGCTTCGCGGCGCTGAGCGCCTGGGGGGCCAGGGCCGCTCTGCAGAGGGCTGCGGGAATATGGTCCCTGCTCGGAGAGCGTGTGATCTGCCAGGCAGCCGGGGAGCCCTGGGGGCACTGCCATGCCTTTGTTCCTCCTTTTTTCTTTTCCACCTTCAGATTTTTTTTTTTCCCCTCTGCTTCCAGCCTGCTGCATATGCAGCACTGCCCCCCCTTTTCCACCCACAGTTCCTGTCTTGATTTTCCTTCCCCTCTACAAATATGTGTTCCTTAGGCTCCTTCTCCTCCCTGCCCAGCTTCCCCCATCAGCGTTGCCTTCCCAAACTTGTTCTTTTTTTTTCCTCCCTTGCCCCCTCTCCCTGTTTTCCCACAGGCTCTCCTCATCCCTTCCCCTGCCCGCTCCTCTCCCCTTCCCTCCAGACGCTCGGGCTCCTGTTCGCTCACTCTCCGTCTCCCCTTCTCTGACAGTTTGGGGGAAATCTGTCTGTGTCAACGCACAAATTCCATTATTTATTGGCTGAGCGGAGCGAGGTCCTACACTCATCTGTAATTGTCTGCAGATCAAAGCGCCTGCTGATGGCAGCTTTGCCTTCTCGCAGCAGAACACCACCCCCAGCTTCACGCTCCCCATCCTCCCGGGGGAGTCGGGTGCATGCGTGTTGACACCCTCGATGACTGATCTCCCAGACAGAGAGGAGAGAAGTAGGGCTGGTGGGGGAGAAAAGGGAGACCTGGAGGATCTGCAAAGCTCCCAGGAGCAGATGGGGATGTTGGGGGGTGTCTCAGGGGGCCACACAGCCCTCGGCAGAGGCTATGGGAGGGTGGGATGGGTGGTCCC